ACTCAGTAAACAACAGATGCTGGCGAGGATGTGAAGAAATGGGAACCCTCTTGCACTGTTGGTGGGAATGCAAACTGGTACAGCCCTTCTGGAAAACAGTGTGGAGGTTCCTTAAAAAATTAAAAATAGAACTACCCTACGACCCAGCAATAGCACTACTAGGAATTTATCCAAAGGATACAGGAGTGCTGATTCATAGGGGCACAGGTACCCTAATGTTTATAGCAGCGCTTTCAACAATAGCCAAATTATAGAAAGAGCCCAAATGTCCATTAACTGATGAATGGACAAAGAAGATGTGGTTTATATATACAATGAAATACTATTTGGCAATGAGAAAGAATGAAATCCTGCCATTTGTAACAACGTGGATGGAATTGGAGGGTATCATGATGGGTGAAATAAGTCAGAGACAGATCTCATGTTTTCACTCATATGTGGAACTTGAGAAACTTAACAAAAGACCATGGGGGGAAGGGAAGGGGAAAAAATAGTTTCAAACAGAGAGAGGCAAACCATAAGAGACTCTTAAATGCAGGGAACAAACAGAGGGTTGACGAGAGGGGCAGTGGAGAGGGGAAAATGGGTGATGGGCTTTGCGGATGGGCTTGTTGGGATGTGCACTGGGTGTTTTATGTAAGCGATGGATCACAGGAATCTATACCTGAAACCAAGAGCACACTGTATGCACTGTATGTTAGCTAACTTGACAATAAATTATATTAAGAAACAAAACAAGGTGTTCACTGAAAACATGAAAAAAAAAGAAAAAAAATAAAGAGCACATTTATTTATTTTGAGAGAGAGAGAGCAAGTGAAGGAGGGGCAGAGAGAGAAAAATCCCAGGAGGGGCAGAGGGAGGTGGGGGGAGGAAAGAGAGAGAGAGAGAGAGAAGCGGGGGCTCTCCTGAAGCAGGGTTCATGCTCACCTGAAGCAGGGCTCGGCCAGTGTGAGACTCAAACTCATGAACTGTGAGATCATGACCCGAGCCTGAGTCAGATACTTAATGACTGAGCCACCCAGGCACTCAGAACATTGATTCTTGATTCATATGTTGAGCCATGGTCATTTGATTACTCAATTTTGTAGGTTCATTGTTATAAAATGGGTCTCTAATCTGATTTCATACCTTAAAAATACCTAAAAACTGAAGAATAAAGTAAATGAAAGTGCTCCAGATTATTGTATATAAACATTTTTTAATATATGTGTAATCAAATACTTAAAAGCTGTGTCATATGTAATCCTCATTAGAGGTTTTTCTGCATGGACTGAAATGGTCAGTTTTTCCCCAAGTAGAAGTGTAGGTACCTTCTTGATAAGTTGCCCAATGCTAGCATTAAGCATTCTTTTTTTTTTCTTGAAAGAACTAGATACAGAGGTCGAAATAACCGACATCTGTTTTTCAATATGCCATTGCTGATTTCATATGGGAGAATGATCTGAATATCCTGGTGAGGCACATCTTTTTAAGAGCCAGGTCTGTTCTCTGGAATCCCTGCGTGGGGTGGCTGGCAGGGAGAAAGGGAACTGGGTGACCAGATGTTTGTTTGCTTTGCCTCCTGGATGGAAAGCACTCCAAATGGAAAGCTTACCCGGACCAGTGAGGTCAGAATCTACAAGCAGCAACTCTTTGAAAAGCAAGAGATGGCAGTGTCTGTCATACCCTCTGTGCCAACTTGGGAGGACTGCAGGGACCAGAGGGCGGGCAATGCAGCAGAGACTTTAGCCCCCTTCCTCTTTTGTCCCCTCTGAGAAAAACCTCTTCTGGGCTGGACAGAGTGTGACAACAAAACATTTGCTCCCTGGGTTTACAGACCTGGCTCTGGAAACAAGACCCATGGGAAGTGGACCATATTCATCCGGAGGCTGGGAAATGTTTCTCTTGGTCTGTGGCAGGGCTGATGTTGGCGTGCTTCCTCCTTGTCCACAACAGGATGGCACTAGGGAAAGCAAACAGAACAGAAGCCCTTCACATGAAGGGTTTCTTGGGCTTTCTCAATGAGAAGGACCCAGGAATCAAAGCCAGAAGCAAGGGAGGAGCTCCTGGGGTATGGTAGGGCTGAGGAGACCCTGTGGGAAAGCTGGCTAGCTCCAGGGACCCGCTGAGTACTACAGCGTCCTGTGGAAATGAAAGAAACACCAAAGAAGCCATGTCTGTACTGACTTTAGCCCCTTGCTTGTCCTAGGCAGGTCTCAGTGTTGGCATTTGTTGTGGTGATCAGGAATTTGTTTCCATTTCCTTTTATTTGAATACCTTGGGCCAGGTCATATGGAGACACTCGAGTGAATTCACACAAGGAGTTTTATTTTCTCTAGACTGAGGTGTGTGTATAAATAATTGATACCCGAGGGAGTGATAAGTGTTATGGGCACAGTAAGAGGTATACTATATTATAGAATGTTATGGAAATTGAGGGAATGGAAGGTATATATTTCACATGTGTCATCAAATGAGTCATTTGAGCTGTGCCTCAAAGATTGAGTAGGATTTGGACATACGAAGATGATCATGTGTGATGTAAACTCCAGGTCTTAAATCATGTTACTTCTAGTATTTTTTGCTTAGTGTAAATAAGTCATGGAAAACTTAATTTTTTTTAAATTAATGAATATAAAAGCACTCCATGTTTATTATGAAACATTTTGGAATGTGTTTGGTATAAAGAAGAAAATCTGATCTCTCTGCCCAGATAACTACTGTTGACACGTGGTGAATTTCCTTTTACTTTCAGAGGCAGTCACTTAAAAGTGACTGGTATCAAGTCATTGTTCAGGCCAGTTATGCTGCCCAGACTCACATATTTTTAATTTATTGTACATTCTAAATCAAATATAAACTGAACCTAAAAATATTATATATCATTTATGCTCTTAAGTATAGTTACTCTATATCTTACTTTTTCCTCAGGCTAATTGTAGCATTTTGTAGGAAATACCCTATATACAGGCGGCTGACTATGCTCTTTTTTTTCCTGGTCTCCTGAGCAAAATTGATCAGGAAAGAAATTTTCAGTGATGCTTAGCTGGGATGTATGGATTGTTTTTGGTTTTTGTTTCAGATTTGAGGAAAAAATAGTTCTTTAATTGTTAAAATGCCCAGTTTTCATAGCTTTTCAAAAATATGATCCTAATAAAATGGTATAATGAAAAGTATGTTACAAAATTTTACTGTTTTGACCATTTTTAAGTGTATTGGGTTAGTGGCACTAAGCGCATTCACATATTTGTGCAACCTGCATCACCATCCATTTCCAGAGCTTTTTCATCATCCCAAACTGAAACTCTACCCATTAAACAGTTGTTCCCCATTTTTCTCACTCCCTTTCTCTCCTTGCTTCCTTCGTTTTTGTAATAGCCATCTTAATGGATGGGAAAGTGGTATCTCACTGTGGTTTTGATTTCCCTTTCCCTAATGATTAGTGATGGTAAGCATCCTTTCATGTGCTTTTGGCCATTTGTATATCTTCTCTCATATATGGTTTTATAGCTTTACTTTCTCCTCCTGTCCTCTTTTGCTCAGCAGTGGTTCAGGTAGGTTAATGCCATTAACAACTGCTCAAAACCATATTTTGAATGATGACAAACCATCCTGTCATAGATTGCCATTGGTCATGTTTTTCAGATGATAAGACCTTCAGGGGTAGAACTTTCAGAGAGTTTTAGTTGTAAATCTTATAATGATAGAACTGTGCATAAATAAATATTTGTTTAAGACACGTGGCTGGATTTGGTCAAGATATATATCTATATATCTATATCTATATATATACACACACATACACACACACACATATGTATTTCAAAATTGCTTTCTAGAAGGACTGTTTGGCAGCACAAGGTTTACTTCCACTGAGTAAAGTAGAATTAGCTAAAAAACCTAATCATCCATCTGTTTTCCTTCTTTCAAATATTGGTAACTTAGTCTTGTCTCATTTCCATTCTCCTCCTTTGTCCTAAGGTTTGTATCTTTATTTCTTCACTGCCATATTATTTGGAATTTGTGAGGGAACAGAGATTGTACATTTAATATGTCAGTTTATAAATTTTTTTTTTCAACGTTTTTTTATTTATTATTTTTGGGACAGAGAGAGACAGAGCATGAACGGGGGAGGGGCAGAGAGAGAGGGAGACACAGAATCGGAAACAGGCTCCAGGCTCCGAGCCATCAGCCTAGAGCCTGACGCGGGGCTTGAACTCACGGACCGTGAGATCGTGACCTGGCTGAAGTCGGACGCTTAACCGACTGCGCCACCCAGGCGCCCCTAATATGTCAGTTTAATTGGAAGTCTATAATTTTCTTAACTCTGAATAAAGCATAGTCACATTCTCAATCAGTATTTTTAAAAAAAATTTTTAATGTTTATTTTGAGAGAGAGAGAGAGAGAGAGAGAGAGAGAATGAGTGGGGGAGGGCAGGGAGAAAGGGAGACACAGAATCTAAAGTAGGTTCCAGGGTCTAAGCTGTCCACACAGAGCCTGACACAGGGGCTCGAATTCACGAACCATGAGATCATGGCCTGAGCTGAAGCCGGATGCTTAACTGACTGAGCCACCCAGGTGCTCCTCAATCAGTATTTAACTTAAGGAAATTTCAGTAAAGACAAAGACTGAATTGCATACTTATAAAAGTTGTGAGTCGAATATAGTTAATATTTTAGATCAGAGGTTGGCAAACATTTCCTCTAAAGAGCCAGATAATGAATATTTAAGCTTTTAAGCCATACAGTCTCTGTGCATTTATTTTTATTTTTATTTTTGACAACTCTTTAAAAATGTAAAAGATATTCTTGAAGCCTGTGGGTTGGATTTGGCTCAGAGACTACAGTTTGCCAATCCTGTTCTGGATTTATTTGGAGTGATCTTGCTAGTCACCTGGACCCATTATTGATGGAAAGACTCTTAAATGCCTTAAGGGAATTGCAAACTCTAGTATGGTTCAGGTGATTTGTGTTTTTAAGGAAATTACCAAGAGCTAATATTTATTATTTTAATTTTCAGATGGTGACCCAGATAACTATATTGCTTACTATCGGAGAGCTACTGTCTTTTTAGCTATGGGCAAATCAAAAGCAGCACTTCCTGATTTAACTAAGGTGATTGAACTGAAGATGGATTTTACTGCAGTAAGTGCATCTAAACTTCCTTTAAAGAAAACTTAAGGAAATTTGGAAGAGGTAATTTGTTTTTAAAGGTGAGGATCGACCTGTTAGGCATAGCTGGGGAGCATAGGAAGCTGCTGTGGTGTAGTAGACTGGGCCGTAAGAACAATCCAAAGTCCCTGGAATCAAAGATCTGTGTGAAAAAGGAACAGTGAGTAAATTTGGTGAATTTTAGAAGCTTGGCAGTGACATCATCCTTGTGGCTTAGAAAGACCTCTGTTTTTGGGGGGAGTGTAGGGCAAGATGTGAGGCTGAGTAACCAGTTGATCAAGAGGCTATTGAATTAACAGGCTGTCAGGTGACTGACAGTAGTTCCAATTAAGGCTGTCATAGGAAAGATAAAGAAAAGGAGATAGGTCACTTACATAGTGGTTTGTAGTAAGGACACAGTTCTGAATTAGATGGCATCCTCCCCTGCAACCAACACACAAGCTTCAGAAATGGAGGAATTTACAGTCTAATGGGATATCCTGATGTTTGGCATTTAGTGTAATGGCTTAAAATAATGGGATAAGTTAGATGCTTTCAAAATTAATTTGGTAGCCCGTTTACTGTTTATATCCTGCCATAATCTTTTTTTATTTATGTTTTTTTTTCAAACGTTTTTTATTTATTTTTGGGACAGAGAGAGACAGAGTATGAACGGGGGACGGGCAGAGAGAGAGGGAGACACAGAATCGGAAACAGGCTCCAGGCTCTGAGCCATCAGCCCAGAGCCCGACGCGGGGCTCGAACTCACGGACCGCGAGATCGTGACCTGGCTGAAGTCGGACGCTTAACCGACTGCGCCACCCAGGCGCCCCAATCCTGCCATAATCTAAAAAGGACTTGGGATAACTGATTAGATATGGGTGAATGTTTGGTTTGAAATATTACTATTATTTTAGGACGGAATTGCCAAGTGTCAGACTTTCTTTTAATCTGTTACTTTACCTAGCTAACTGAGCACAACCTTTCACAAAAGTTGAGTAGTTCATTTTCCTAGTATTATTAGTTAGTTAAAGTGGCTTCGTTTTCCTTTTTATGTGTGTTGATGCGCTTAACAGAGGATCAGGGAAATTTTTTGTACTGTCAAAGTAATGTGTTAAGTTTTTTTTTTAATTTTTGTTTTTAATGTTTATTTATTTTTGAGACAGAGAGAGACAGAGTGTGAGTGAGGGAGGGGCAGAGAGAGAGGGAGACACAGAATCCGAAGCAGGTTCCAGGCTCTGGGCTGTCAGAGCCAGATGGGGGGCTCGAACCCATCGACCGCGAGATCATGACCTGAGCTGAAGTCGGACACTCAACCGACCGAGCCACCCAGGCGCCCCAGTAATGTGTTAAGTTTTAGTGGAATGTCAGTGTGGTTTCTGTCTTATGGTCACATTGGTCATCAGAGAGTTGGTATTCTTGGAAGAGATGGGATCATGCACATGAGAAGAGGAATACCAGAGATGGAGGGGGAAAAATGATGCATGGGAAAAGGGAAGAGGTGTTATTCGGTTGTAGTAGAGTGAATATTTCCAAAGTTAATAAAAACAAAATTATATCTAGAACTTTGATTGGTAAAGTCCCAAATTACACAGCTTTTTTTTTGTGGTGACAAAAGTTATTACGATGGCCAAAAAAAAAAAAAAATATTGAGATAAAATTCACATATCATCAAATTCATCCTTTTTTAAAGTGTATAATTCAGTGGTGTTTTAGTGTATTCACAAGGTTGTGCAGGCATCACCACTGTCTAGTTCCAGAAATTTTTATCACCCCCAAAAGAAATCGAGTACACATTAGCAGTCCCTCCCCATTTATGCCCTGGACTCTGGCAACCACTTTTCTTTCTGTCTGTGTGGGCTTGCCTATTTGGACATTTCATATAAATGAAATCATTCAGTATTTGTCCTTTTGTGTCTGACTTCTTTCACTTAGCATATTGTTTTCATGGTTCACCCATGTTGTAGCACGTGTCAGTACTTCATTCCTTTTAATGCTGAATAACAATAGCAATATTCCATTGTGTGTGTGTGTGTGTGTGTGTGTGTGTGTGTGTGTGTGTGTGTATGTCACATTTGCTTATTGATTTATTAGTTGATAGGAATTTGGGTGATTTCTACTTTTTAGCTATTGATTTGAACATCCATGTACAAGATTTGTGTGGATACATATTTTCAATTTTGGGGGATATAGCACAAAAAGTATTTTTAAAGAAGCATACTTAATGCTTAAAAATTATACACATTCATTGGTTCCAGGAATTGTTCTCAAGAGTGCCAAGTCAAATGGGCATTGGAAAAATAAATATTTCGTTAATAGTTTATTAGTGTATTTGGTTTCATTCTTTGTGTTTAAAGAAAATTTGGTAATGCGTGGTTCTCAGAACACCCTTTCTTTTTTCTAGGCAAGATTACAGAGAGGTCACTTATTACTCAAACAAGGAAAACTTGATGAAGCAGAAGATGATTTTAAAAAAGTGGTAAGTTCAGCTTGTATTTGGCTTTATGAAGATGTTGAACTCCTTTATGAAGATGAGTGAACATGTTGGACTTATTTTTTTATATAGTAAGACATTTAGTAATAACTTTGTAGCTAAAAGGGAAAATCATTTGATTTGTATATATAAAAATCACAGTTTCTGTATTAATACATAGTGGCTGACATGAAAGAATCACTTTAAGAGTTGGAAGATAAAGTGTATGGAATGAATATATAATTTTAATTCAGTTTATATAGCTCACGTGTTCTGCTTTGTTTTCCGTGAGGATCTAGAGATATCAACTGAACTATTCTAAAACTCCTCTAGATACCCCTGGGAAACACTTCATTTGATTTGAAGGAATAAGGAGACATTCTTTTTTTTTTTTAAATTTTTTTTTTTCAACGTTTTTTATTTTATTTTTGGGACAGAGAGAGACAGAGTATGAACGGGGGAGGGGCAGAGAGAGAGGGAGACACAGAATCGGAAACAGGCTCCAGGCTCCGAGCCATCAGCCCAGAGCCTGACGCGGGGCTCGAACTCACGGACCGTGAGATCGTGACCTGGTTGAAGTCGGACGCTTAACCGACTGCGCCACCCAGGCGCCCCAGGGAGACATTCTTAAAAGGGAGATTTGTAATTTCCTGTATGGCTACTCTACAAAGTGTAGTGTTTTGAATTCATTGGGGGATGTTATAGATTACCTATAATTGAAAAATGATTTGTTGGAGAGACAGCCAAAGTCTTTATGCCCTCATGAAGTTTATTTTAAGACCTGCATTTTTGTTCCATCTGGATTTGTTTCTGAAGTGGTCTAGAAAGGGCATATATACAGTTGACCCTTGAACAAAATGGATTTGAACTGCATGGGTCCACTTTTATGTGGGCTGTATAAGTACTGTTAATGCATTTTCTCTTCCTTATGATATTCTTAATAATGTTTTCTTTTCTCTAGCTTACTTTATTGTAAGAATACAGTATATAATACGTATAACATACAGAGTATGTGTTAATTGACTATGTTATTGTTAAGGCTTCTGGTTAACAGTAGACTACTAGTAGTTTTGGGGGAGTCAGAAGTTTTATGAGGATTTGACTGCATGGGGTGGGTGGCATCGGTGCCCCTAACCCTGTGTTGTTCAAAGGTCAACTGTATAAAACCCCATTGTTCATTATTTGCATTTTTGTAGTTTATAAAAATACTTAGTTACTAGATGATAACCACTATGAAAATAAAACTGAAATTTCTAATATTTTCATAACCTCAGTATTTTATACCCTTAGTATTTCATAACCTCAGTGTTTTCACAGTACTCAGTCATATGCAGAGAAATTAAACATTAGACTTAATTGTATTAAAATCTAATCAGCAGCTGTCTCCTGGTCTCAGTAAAACTGGATGTCCTTTTATGTTTATTTAATTTTCCTTACTAGGGAAGGTGCTTGAGAACAGGCTGAAGGATAGGTCGTGGGATGTGATGGCATCTGAGTCCCCAGCCTCGTTCTTATACATAGCAAGTGTTGTGAGAAATTTGTTGAATGGATGGATGAATGATAAAACATAAGAATGAGTTTCCTTCTTTTTAACAAATGCCTAAATCTATTATGTAGAATTGTTTCTCAATCACAACATTAGAGTAGCCTTTTGGGAATAACACAATTTAGAAGAAAGCTTTAGCAAAAATTAATCCTTACTGGGCATTGGATATATCCTTCTGGAAAAGTGAGTTCTTTGAATTTTGGGTATGTCTTCAGTTAATGTCTTTTCTGTGATCAATATTAAAACCTCACAGAGGGGTGGCTGAGTGGTTCTGTCAGTTGAACATCCAACTCTTGATTTCAGCTCAGGTCATGATTCCAGGGTTGTGGGATTGAGCCCTGTGTCAGTTTCCACATTGAGCATGGAGCCTGCTTAAGATATTGTCTCTCTCCCTCCCCTTCCCCCTCCTTCTCCCCTCCCTCTCCCCCTCTCTCCTCTCTCT